CCAAAAAAAAACACTTCTCTTAATTGAAGAAAAACAGCAATCAAAATGAAGAAAAATGGGAACGAAACAGCACTAAAGTAGTTGTATCCTCTTTTCATACCCAACATTTCTCCAAAATGATAGATTACATCCACGGTTCCATATTTTCGTTTACATTTTTACACATTCCAAAGAAAAATTACGCATTCGGGAGAATTTTTTACTCATTCGGAAGAATTTTCTACCTTAAAGTAAGGAAAGTTTTTCTTTGATCCAGAGATGGATTTTTGGTTCGGTGTGGCACCTCCCATACAAACCGAACATTCATACGGCATATCTCTGGAAGTGTTCATGGTAGAATGGTGGCGCACATGAAATCGATCGCATAATCTTGGAGAAAAATTAGACATATTGGAAAAGGGGCGTGGCACCTCCCTTTCAAACCGTATTTTCCATACTGTATATCTCTGGAAGTATTTATGGTAGAGTATTGGAACTTGGTATGGAGATATAAGATCGCATACTCTTGGAGCAAAATTTGAGCTATTGGAAAAGGGAGGCGTGGCACCTCCCTTTCAAACCGTATTTTCCATACTGTATATCTCTGGAAGTATTTATGGTAGAGTATTGGAACTTGGTATGGAGATATAAGATCGCATACTCTTGGAGCAAAATTTGAGCTATTGGAAAAGGGAGGCGTGGCACCTCCCATACAAACCGAATTTTTCATACTGCAAATCTCTGGAAGTGTTCATGGTAGAGTACTGGAACTTGGTATTGGTGCAAATGAAATCGATTACATAATCTTGGAGAAAAATTGGACCTATTGGAAAAGGGGGCGTGGCACCTCCCATACAAACCGAATTTTTCATACTGCAAATCTCTGGAAGTGTTCATGGTAGAGTACTGGAACTTGGTATTGGTGCAAATGAAATCGATTACATAATCTTGGAGAAAAATTGGACCTATTGGAAAAGGGGGCGTGGCACCTCCCATACAAACCGAATTTTTCATACTGCAAATCTCTGGAAGTGTTCATGGTAGAGTACTGGAACTTGGTATTGGTGCAAATGAAATCGATTACATAATCTTGGAGAAAAATTGGACCTATTGGAAAAGGGGGCGTGGCACCTCCCATACAAACCGAATTTTTCATACTGCAAATCTCTGGAAGTGTTCATGGTAGAGTACTGGAACTTGGTATTGGTGCAAATGAAATCGATTACATAATCTTGGAGAAAAATTGGACCTATTGGAAAAGGGGGCGTGGCACCTCCCTTTCAAACTGAATTTTTCATACTGCATACCTCTGGAAATTTTCATGGTAGAGTACTGAAACTTGGTGTGGAGATATACAAAATATATCGCATATTCTTCCAGAAAAATTGGAGCTATTGGAAAAGAAGGCATTGTACCTCCCATACAACCCGAATATTTCATACTGCACATTTCTGGAAGCGTTCATGGTAAAATTTTTGAACTTGGTACGGAAATATATGAAAGCAATCGCATACTCATGGGGAAAAACTGGAGTTATTGGAAAAGGGGGCACCTCCTATACAAACCGAATTTTTCATACTGCATATCTCTGGAAATGTTCATGGTAGAGTACTAGAACTTGGTGTGGAGATATACAAAATATATCGCATATTCTTCCAGAAAAATTGGAGCTATTGGAAAAGAAGGCATTGTACCTCCCATACAACCCGAATATTTCATACTGCATATCTCTGGAAATGTTCATGGTAGAGTACTAGAACTTGGTGTGGAGATATACAAAATATATCGCATATTCTTCCAGAAAAATTGGAGCTATTGGAAAAGAAGGCATTGTACCTCCCATACAACCCGAATATTTCATACTGCATATTTCTGGAAGCGTTTATAGTAAAATTTTTAAAATTGGTACGAAAATATATGAAATCAATCACATGCTCATGGAGAAATATTGGAGTTATTGGAAAAGGGCGTGGCACCTCCTATACAAACCGAAATCGTCATACTGTATATCTCTGTTCATGGTAGAGTACTGGAACTTGGTATGGAGATATATGAAAACAATCGCATACTCATGAACAAAAATTCGGACTGTTTGAAAAGGGGACGTGGCACCTCCCATATAAACCGAATATTTCATAATAAGTATCTCTGGAAGTGTTCATGGTAGAGTACTGGAACTTTATACGGGCGTGGCACCTCCCACGAACTTTATACGGGCGTGGCACCTCCTATCAGAATTGTTGTGGTGATATATGAAATTAATCGCATAGTCTTGCAGAAAATATAGAGCTGTTGGAAAAGGGGACGTGGCACCTACCATACAAGCCGAATTTCATACTGCATATCATCTGTAGAGAAATTGCCTCTTTGAAAAGAGGGCGTGGAAAAGTACAAACATACTGACTTTTACTTATCTTTGAATGTGTATATAGTTCTTCTGTAGGTATATTTGTGTGAAATCCTAAATGGCTGGAGTGATTATAACAAAGTTTTGTGTGTTTGTTTGAGTGGGTCTCTGGATAGTTTAGTTTCACAATTTAATCCGCCAGTTGGCGCTGGAGTTGAGTTATTACTCAAAATCTTTTTTATGATCCGATCTGGCGAATATTCAAAATATGTGTTGGAAACGGTAAAGNTGCTACTGAAAAAGAGGGCGTGGTACCTCCCATACAACCCGAATATTTCATACTGCACATTTCTGGAAGCGTTCATGGTAAAATTTTTGAACTTGGTACGGAAATATATGAAAGCAATCGCNGTTTTAAATGTGGAAAGCCAGGCCACTTCGCCGCGATTGCAGTGCAAGTTGCAATGGGCTCAACAATTCAGCAGGACGCAAACGCAGGGCTGAGGGAGACAAATCCAACTCCAATCAGCNCAAAATCTTTTTTATGATCCGATCTGGCGAATATTCAAAATATGTGTTGGAAACGGTAAAGGCAGTCCAATTGCCAGGTGGTGCTGAGGTCAAGTTATTACTAAAAATCGACAAGTGAGAAAAGGTGCCGTGAATGTCAAACTAAATCGACCTGTTGCACCATTGAGTATATCGAACTCTCGTGTTTCACGATTGGCCTAATAAATGTGATTTGCCAATATTATTATGCGTTAAAGCTTCATTCGAAGAAACCAAGGTTGAGTTATGCAGTGGTAAATCTCAGTTCACCACCTGTCGAAATACCNCCGTTAAACTAAAACGAGCCAGCAGGAAGAGCCGCATGCTGGCTCCAGAAGTTGAAGGGCCCATAATCTCCGTCTCACAANTTCACGATTGGCCTAATAAATGTGATTTGCCAATATTATTATGCGTTAAAGCTTCATTCGAAGAAACCAAGGTTGAGTTATGCAGTGGTAAATCTCAGTTCACCACCTGTCGAAATACCTTAAAAGCCGGTTTCATGATTTGATAAATATTTATTTTTTGAATTGAGTTTAATATAGAACCTGACAGAAAATAATAATTTTTCACTTGAATTAAATTCGCGAAAATGGCTTTTAAGGTATTTCATCTCCGCCTGTATATGTAAGTATATTGTATTTCTGTTAAACAAGGATACGCATTCATTTTGAAATTGCCNCGAAAAAAGTGGTTCACCGATACAGGAAAAGCGTGACGGTTCCTCCAGCTCAGTGAAGAAGAGGTCGCAACAAGGAAGTGGTCATGGCGAGCCAGGCAGTGTTTCCGGCAGGAGGAAATCCACTGAACCACGTTGCCGATAAATAGCCGGATTTGTGTTGTTGCTTTGCAGGTATTTTGTCATCTAAGCGAGTGTTCTTTTGTAGCTCGGTTGCAAAAGAATCTACCTAGTGTTGTTATTCACAAAATTTTGTACGTATTTTACCAGCCTTCAGACGTAGATAAATAGCCGAGTGTTCTTTTGTATTTCGGTTGCAAAAGAATCTACCTAGTTTTGTTATTCACAAAATTTTGTACGTATTTTACCAGCCTTCAGACGCAGATTCCCTTTGCTTTTGTTGGATTTCTTTTACTCAAAGTGCTTTTATACGTTTATAAATTTTCCCTTTGAATCTACCATAATGTTGTGGCCGGGCGAAGACCACGTTCCGACTGAAAATAAAGGCCATTGTGTCACTTTACAACAACCAGCCCCCCAACCCCATAGCTCTAAATATGCTCCATATATGTCCCCCTTTTTTCAAAATCCTTAAATTATTCACTAAATCACTCCGGCTTCGGCCACAAAAGTTCAGTGCGGTCACAAAAATTGATGTCCGGTAACTCCCCTGCAGGAAATTGAATTAGTTTGAAAGTAATTTATAAACTACTTTATTTTCAATGATAACTAATTGAAATTCTCACTATTTTACCTGCAATGAACTCATTTATTTAACATGGCGATGTCCTAGGAAGCAGTCAATTGGCTTTTTCAGCGTGTATTTTCAATTACTTTGAAACGAATTTGGCTTAAACAACTTCAAAGTCAGTATGTTTCGTTTGAATACGCTTTCGTTCTGCACTTCACAGATGATTTTTCATAACTAAGAAAAACCGAAATTAAAAATTTAAAATTAAATGAGATTTGAACATGGACATTCTGGCAAACATCTTTGCACGCTCAGCTACAGCCAGACATGTAAATTCAATGTAACTAAGTCTTTGTACTTTCACGAACGCAATTTTCAAATATGGACCGCTCAGAACCAGTATCTCGTTTCTTTAACACTTCTCTACCGATTATTTCTCTACTGGGAGAGAATATACGTCATCCTCTACTACTCATTAGCAGTAGAGAACAGGGCGGCGAATTCATATCTCAATTCGCCTTGGTAGAGAATTGTTACAGAATCGAGCTACAGGTCTTATAAGCAGATCCTGGTTCCTTCAAATGTACTCTTTAAAAGCTTGTTTATATACTTTTCCATTTATTTTCCTTTTTCTTTAAATATCGTACTAAACGTAACTAGTCCATTAAAAAACATTTCCGTTGTTGCCAGAGTCGTTCACATTTCAACGATTATTTTCGATAATAATTTAAGTTAATTTTCTTTTAGATTTTTACATTCATAGCAGACTTGCAGGAAGCTATATTTTTGAATATGGTATTCGTGCAAAGGCAACAAGGGCGATAGGCTTGCGAGCACGCTGTAGACGGTTTTGAAGCCTTTTGTTGGCAAAAATATGGATTGCAAAGTATTGGCTCCATCTGTGTCGGTCTCCTTGCCGTGGGGATGGGGCTTAAGTGGTACTATGGCGGCTGCTTCGGCAACCGTCATATCACCACGAACCAAGAGGGAAGCTAGTATGGTGACCTGATGCCGCTGTATCAACCTCGCCCGCTGGGTAAGTGTGATACTAGCCACTCTGGTTTCCATGCGAGATCACCGTACCGACGTCCTTATCCTTAATCCCTCCCCATCCCATCTTCCCTCCTCCCACCCTATAATCCTGACTGGGGAGTCTTTAACACCCAAACAAACAAATCAAAAACAAAAACAAACTCGTACAAAACAACAGTACACCAGCGGGCTCTCATACCGCACCAAAACTGGCGGACCAGGTCGAGTCTAATATCGAAAATACTGGCAGCCAGGACCCGACAAGAACAACGCCGACAGTTGACGGACGTAAGGACGGCAATGGCCCCAAAGACCCTATATTTGGACCGGCGCAACGGACAGAAGCAGGCACTATGCAACAGAAGGAAAGTCTGGGGCAGGTGGGATCCGAGGTTGCTTCGGCACCCATAGATGATATACCACAGGCCTCGACGAGTACTGGACTGACGACCGGACAGTCTAGGAAATTTGGGGACGTCAGAAAGGCCAAAGGTTTCAGTGGCGCAGGAGCCAAATGGTACCTGCGTTACTTAAACAAAGGTTTAACGTCTGAAGAGGCCAAGAAGAAAGTACTGGATCGGGAGAAGTCCAGTGACAGCACAGACGTGGTTGCGAAAGCTAGTACTCCGGAGGGGAATCCGGAGAAAAAGGCACCCCTAGATCGGGAAAAACCCGGTGACAGTAAACGGGTGGCTGCGGAGCTTAGTCCTCCTGAAGGAAAGCCGGAGAAGAAGAAGAGCCGTCTTGAAACAGTGGCTCCAAAACCTAAGGCAGGGGCCAGGAAGCCGGGTGTTAGCTATGCTAGCGCCACTAAGCGCATTAGACTGGCAGTTCTGCCGAAGGCTTTCCCTGAGAGTACACTCACTCGTGAGGATCAGGGAAAGATTGAGGACGCCATTGTGGAGGAGATGGGTAAGGGTTGGAGGTCAATACTCCAATTCGACGGCATTCACTTTCGGCCAGGCCTTATACTGGTCGACTGTTTGAATGCAGAATCAGCCGAATGGTTGCGCGAAATTGTCCCAAAACTGCCTGACTGGGATGGTGCGGAACTGACTACGTGCGATGGCGACAACATACCCAGGGTGCACGTAATCACTACGTACCTACCAAAAGCTGCAGGAGTGGACACGCAGAAACTGCTGAACCTCATTATAGCACAAAATGAGGGAATGCATACCGACCTATGGAAGGTTTATAGGAGCAATGATGAGAAGACGGGCAAACTGCTAACGATCGGGATTGACGACCGGTCGTTGGACGCTATCAAAAAGAAAAACTGCATCCTACGATACAGGTTTGGTAGTGTTCCAGTGCATGTGCACAAGGGCAGGGAACCGAAGGCGAAGATAGTCAAGCCAGATACTCCACCGGGTGGTTCGGAATTACCGAAGGAGGTGGCTGAGATGGTAGCCGTGGAAGCAGCTAGTAGCGCGGTAGTAGAGGAAGTCAGTCTTTTACCTCATGACGACTCGGAGAGAGCCACCTTGTCAGAGTTTGACAAAACTCTGACAACGGACGAAGACGATGAACGCCAATAACTGCGACGATGACCAGCACTAAGGTTGCACAAATAAATCTACACCATGCGAGGGCCGCGTCTGCGGTTATCGCTAGGGCAACCCTCAGGTCTACACTGGGAATAGTGCTGGTACAAGAACCCTGGGTCGTCAGGGGCCAAATAAGAGGCTTGGCAGTAGAGGACAGGCAGGTTATTTGGGATACTAGGTGTACGAATCCTAGGGCGTGCTTGTTAATAACTAATAGCTTGAAACATATATGTCTTTCAGATTTCCTGTCGAGGGATCTAGTAGCGGTCCAAGTCCCAGTCAACATCAACGGGACCATCCAGGACATCGTAGCTGCATCGGGCTACTTCCCAGGAGATGACACGCACGCCCCACCAGAGCTTGTCACTAAACTGGTGAAGTACTGCGAGGCTAGTAAGCTACCCCTGATACTCGGGTGTGATGCAAATGCGCATAGCGAGGCATGGGGGAGCAGTGACACCAACCAAAGGGGTGAGTACCTTCTTGAATTTATCCTTAGAAATAAATTAGAAATCTTTAATGTTGGGAACATACCAACATTTGTGACCCGCGCAAGGGAAGAGGTCCTTGATATTACCATAGGGAATACTCAAACGAAAGCGCTAGTGAAAGAGTGGAGAGTATCCAATGAACCCTCCATGTCAGATCATAGAATAATAAGGTTTGACATTGAAGCAACCCCTCCTATACATAGAGTTTTAAGAAATCCCAGGAAGACAGACTGGGAGAAGTTCAAAGACAACCTGAGGTTGAATGTAGCACAACCTGGGCTAGGTCAGAAGATCAGGAACGAAAAAGAACTAGAATTCGCTACAAAGCGCTTCAATGAACTACTCATTGACGCATATGAAGACAGCTGTCCTATAAGTAAGGTACGTTCCTCCACGGATGTACCCTGGTGGAACAACAACTTAAGTAAACTCAGAACCAAAGTCCGGAAACTGTTCAATCGAGCAAAACGAACCGGGTAGTGGTCAGAATACAGAAACACCTTAACTCTGTACAACAAAGAAATAAGGGAATCTAAGCGTTTAAGCTTTAGGAACTTCTGTGAAAGCATAGAAGATACTACGGAGGCAACAAGACTCTATAAGGTAATGGGAAAAATGAACTGTATTTCGTCCGAAATCTACGGAAGAGTGATGGGAGTTTCACTGGGAGCTAGGAGGAGAAGATCAAACTTCTCATAGATACTCACTTCCCAGGATCTACATCTTATTACGAAACAGATCGGACTAAGCAGTGCAGTAAAATAAGCAGAGGAAACTGGTTAGTGGCTAAGGAAATATGCTCCGAGCCCCGGCTCAGGTGGGCGGTAAATACCTTCAAACCACTGAAGTCACCGGGAGCGGATGGAATTTTCCCTGGCATGCTACAGCAGGGCTTAGAGTGCGTGATTGGACCGCTATTAAAAATAATTAGAAGCAGCATAGCATTGGGTTATATACCAGATGCGTGGAGAAGAGCGAAGGTTGTTTTCATCCCGAAGGTTGGGAAGAAGGACCCACTTCATCCAAAATCCTTCAGGCCGATCTGCCTGACCTCATTTGTACTAAAAGCTTTAGAAAAGGTAGTAGATAACTATGTAAGGACTACGGTCTTATTGAACTATCCACTGAATTCGCGCCAGCATGCATATTTGGCGGGCCGCTCTACTGAAACCGCCCTATACGCGCTGACATGCGCACTTCAAGATAGCTTAGAAAATAAGGAGACTGCTATATGCGCTTTTCTGGACATCGAGGGGGCGTTTGACAACACCTCACATGCTGCAATAAACAGTGCTTTGATTAGCAGGGGGGTAAACAATACCCTCGTAGCCTGGATTAATTGCATGCTCCGCACCAGAAGGGTAGAAATACAAACCTGTACGAATAATACAGTTGTTGCCGGAACAACAAGGGGCTGTCCACAGGGTGGAGTGTTATCTCCACTATTATGGAATATAGTCGTCGACGGACTGCTCCAAGAGCTAACAGATACTGGACTAACCTGCCAGGGGTACGCCGACGACATTGTAATATTATGCAGGGGGAAATTCGAAAACACCCTGTGTGATAGAATCCAGCTAGGGCTGAACGTAACCAAAAAATGGTGTGCCAAAGTGGGGCTGAATGTAAATCCAGCAAAAACCACTATAGTACCATTCTCAAGGAAATACAAACTTGATAGTCTAAAAGCGATAAGGCTAGATGGAACCAACATCATGTACCAAAAAGAGGTTAAATTCCTAGGAGTAATACTAGACCAAAAACTACTCTGGAACGCACACGTAGAAGAAACTGCGAAGAAAGCTGTAAGATCATTTGTGACGTGTAGGTCCATGGCAGGTAAAAGTTGGGGCTGCACACCAAAGATACTGAGATGGATCTACACGACAATAGTACGACCCATGGTAACCTATGGAGCCATCGTTTGGGCCGATAGAACTTCAAAACTTGGAGCAATCAAAGTGCTCTCCAAGATACAAAGGCTGGCATGCGTATGCATAACGGGAGCCATGAGAACCTGTCCAACCGCATCCTTGGAGGTTCTTTTAGATCTTACCCCTCTTCATATTTACATACAGACTCAGGCGAAAAGAGCTTTACTACGGATGACTGGTACCAATATCGGGGCAGCAGGGTGTCTTGGTCGTGGGAAGTTAGATATTCTTACGAATAAGTTCCCTGAAATTGCAATACCGAGGGATACCATGCATCCGAGGTTCAGCTTTACAAAGAGGTTTTATACTGAACTGAGTAATAAGAAGAGCTGGGCAGGCATATCCGAGACATATCGGATAAACCAAAACATGATTACCTGGTACACTGATGGCTCATTGACCGACGAGGGTACCGGGGTAGGGGTAGTTGGACCGAGGATAAGATACTCGGAACCCATGGGGAAACATATGTCTATTTTCCAGGCTGAAACATACGCCATAGAAAGATGCGCGGACTTTAATATCAAGCGAAACTACCGGAATCAGAACATCGCGATCTTGACTGACAGCCAAGCGGCTATCAAGGCCCTCAGATCTCACCAGGTAACATCTAAACTGGTGATGGAGTGCCTCGACAAGCTGAATACTCTTGGTCTGACCAATCGGGTTTGGGTTCTCTGGATTCCGGGACATATTGGTATTAAAGGAAACGAGATTGCCGATAAACTAGCGAAGAAAGGTGCATCAACCCCTTTCACCGGTCCAGAACCTTTCTGCGGCCTGGGAAAAGGGGCACTCTCTAAACTAGTTCGGCTAGAGGAAGAAGCTCAGAGGAATCACTACTGGGATAATCTACCAGGTCTAGAGCAGTCCAAAGCACTTTTAGGAACATATAACCTAAAACGCGTCAAGGAATGTATGAGCTTATCAAAGAATAACTTAAGAATTGTTACAGGAATCCTGACAGGACACTGCAGGCTGAACTATCACCTGACTAAACTGGGAATTTACTCGCATGAGCGATGCAGATTTTGCAGGATGGAAAACGAGACTGCACAGCACATCTTAGAAGAATGCCCTGCACTGATGCATAAACGCAAAAGGCACCTGGGTGAACATCTGATAACCAAAGGCGAAGTGAAATCCGTAGACTTAGGTTCTATACTAAAGTTTCTCTCGGATACTGGATTAATAGACACACTATAATCCATGAAGGGGGTACAATAGATCTTAAGGTCGCAGTGCTCTATCCCCAACATTAATAATAATAATAATAAGTATTGGCAAATGTCGTAGACAAGATATGCCTAAACCTTTGGAGAAAGCATATGAAACGCAAGGGACGTATTTCAAAATTTTATGTATTATTTTATTGAACAAGAAGAAATACAAGTCTCAAAGTTGACGAAGAAGTTTAAGCAAATACCAGATACTTTGTGGCTTTGCGTGACATTTATACCTTTGCCAAGAAAACAATTTTGTACTGCTCTTTTACTCTTCAAAATTGCTGTGAATTTTATATATTTAGCTTTAAACATATCAGCAATGTAATTAAATTTTATGTTTCTGCATGAAAACTCGAATTTGGACGAAACAAAATAAATATTAAACCGGCTGATTGTCAACTAGGATGGGTAGTGGGGGGTTGAAACTCGATTTTTTCCGAGTTTCAAACATTGCCCAACCATTGGATTATTCGATTCGAAATTTGGTGGTGCCAATTCGATTTAATTCGAATTTTCCAAAAAATTTTTTTATTGAATCTTCTTAATCGAGTTCGGAGATTAAATTTTTAACACCAAGTCATAAAATCTTGTCAAATTAAAGGCTTGTGCTTTGGGTCTGCAACATAGTTTTAGTTCTATGAAAAGGGTTGCCACAGGTTAGAAAATCAAATTCAAATAATCGCTTCCGCAGATGTTTGCGTTAAATATTTAACACCAAGTCATAAAATATGTATCTTTCCTTCGATTTTCAAAAAAGAGGTAGGTGTCAAATGAAAGGGCTTGCCCTGTAGATGTGTAATATGGTTTTAGTTTTGTGCCATATGTAAGAAAATCAAAATCAAATTATTTCATAAGTTAAATAAATTACCCCAATATGGGTATCAATCGAAATGGTTTTGAATAAACTTTATTTTTTAATTACATTTAGGTGGGGTGCCACCTGTTTGAAAAGTCGAATTTAGTTAAGAAGTGTTATGCTTAAAATACTATGCAACAATTAAAATATTTTTGAGGTGCTTGAAGAGAGGGGCCACCTGTCTAAAAAGTTAAACTCAAATTACACTGTGGGACAGCCGAAACCAGCCCGGACTTTGTTAACATTTTCTGAAAGTATACCAATCCAGTAATAAAACACTCGGTGGATTTGCAAAAGTTAGCTCGTATTTTTATTTAATGGCCTACTAAAGTTTTCATGTCTCGGCCTAAGTAGTTTTCATAAAAGTGGAAAAAATAGTTAAAATAAATGTCTGAGCGAAATTAAAGGTTAAGACATCTATAATAAAATCTCATGGGAAATATTTTCGCACAAATTTTAACCCATTAGCTTCCGCCTAAAAGGT